AGAAAGTTGTGCTCAAACAAAGAAACAAACTCTTTACGAGCAGTGGCATTTAATTATAGACTTGCTAGTCAATGAATCATTTTGGGGAGGTTATCTTAAAAACTGAAACTCTCATTATATGCTAAAACAAAGCAAAAAAAAAAAAGACAAAATGACCTTAATTCAAGAAATAAAGATCTAGCAGTAAAACAATTGACCACTAGCCAGAATCCTACTACCGTTACACCAACCAGCGTAACCCCATCAGTGTAAATCTTAGCTGTAAATTGCCATAAATCAGGAAGTTGGCACTAGGCATTTGCTGTCAGACACCAATTGTGCAACTCTGCAAATGCTCACATTGATTTTTTTTAACTCACAACAGACATGTATGCCAATAAGAGTAATGCTGCAGCATCCGTCTCTAACCAAGACCACCCAAAAAAGGGTCAGCATGGTCCAAACTAGACATGAATTCCAGTTTAAATACAGTTCATCAACCACCATCATGTTCTATGCCTTGTTTTTTTCTTTTCCTACTTATGAGGGTGCTCCCATCTCTCACAAAATTGATGTGAACTATTCTGGAATACAATGTGTCAGAATACTGTCATGTAATGCAGACAAAGTCATAAGTTTCAGTCCATTCTTTGCTGGTACATAAAGAGCCTTTGCCACGAATCTTGGAGATTGATGTGCATGCCGGCTTGGTGCTACTATCTATTAGGACAGGAATATAGGGTGGGATACAACAGTGTTTTTCCATCAACAGAACCACTTCCATCAGTAGAACTGTGAAAGACCCACTTCTATCTCCTATAAGTTCTCAAACTCTTGTCCAGAGGGATGGAAGATGCAGATTCTGTGCTAGCAGATGTCTGCTAGTGTGATGCTGGATTTAAGCTATTGTACAATACAGTGGTGCCCCACTTGACGATTACGTGATGCTGGATTTAAGCTATTCTACAATACACTTGACGATTACCTTGCTTGACGCTGAAATCACTTAGCGACTGCAAAACGATGATTCAAGGGGGGTTGTTTTACGACGATCGGTTCCCTGCTTCGGGAACCATTTTTTCGCTGGACGATGATTGAAAACAGCTGATTGGTGGGTCACAAAATGGCTCCCCGCTGTTTTCAGGACCAATTCTTCGCTTTACAGGCATCGCAAAATGGCTGCCCTATGGAGGATCTTCGCAAAACGAGCAGGTATTTCCCCCATTGGAACGCACTGAACCGGTTTTCAATGCATTTCAATGTGTTTTTTTTCGTTTGACAGCAATTTTCCTGGAACGGATTATCGTCATCAAGTGAGGCACCACTGTATAAAAGGTAAAGGTTCCCCTTGACAATTTTTGTCCAGTCGTGTTCGACTCTAGGGGGCATTGCTCATCCCCGTTTCCAAGCCATAGTGCCAGCGTTTTGTCTGAAGACAATCTTCCGTGGTCACATGGCCAGTGCGACTTAGACATGGAACGCTGTTACCTTCCCACCGAGGTGGTCCCTATTTATCTACTTGCATTTGCATGCTTTCGAACCGCTAGGTTGGCGGGAGCTGGGACAAGCGACGGGGGCTCACTCCGTCGGGTGGATTCGATCTTACGACTGCTTGGTCTTCTGACCCTGCAGCACAGGCTTCTGCAGTTTAGCCTACAGCGCCACCACATCCCTTTACTTTACCTTTACTAACCAGGTAAGTGTTAGTACAAGTATGTTTAAGGACATAGCAGATGGATGGAGATGTAAACAAAATATTACTTATCTTATCAAAGGCCCTTTTGTAAACAGAAAGGCATATGAATCCAATAAATGGTTAGATTCCAGGTGAAGAGCTAGTAAAGAGTACAGTTTGTCATGTAACATTTTATATATTGAAACATCAAGTCAGCATCAAAAGTTGTAACAATTGTCTCGAATCAGAATGCTGTAATCCTGCCCGCAGATGTTTCTGGCAAATTCACATAAACTTTTGTTGACTTCTCCACATTAAACTGTTCTCTGGCTAGTCTACTTTCTTAACAGTAGTCTGACTATGTAACATGATAGCTGAAGACTGACCTCTAGTGGACAAATGTGTAAGACACAATTCAGCAGAGTTAAAGATACACATAATTTTACACTGCTTTATGTTCAAAAAATTCAAAATAAAAAAAAATAGAATAGAGCTGACACTGAATGCTAATATTATGCACAATTTAAAAGCAGTATTTATCTGCAGCATTCAATGTCCACTTAGGCAATATTAATATGGATATCTATTTATCAATACTACGTATAATAGATACTAGCTATTTCACAAGAAAAAAAGTTTAAACTCCTGAAGGGAGAAAACCTCTGAGGCTCAATTTAGAGGTCACAGAGCCAACTAGCAAATTATGGATAGAGGAGCAGGAGAGAGTAACATCATCCCAGGAAGGTGGTTCACCAACTTGGACAGAAGGGGGCCTCACTTCAAAATCTGAATTGCCCTCAATAAAAAATTACAAGCACCTTCTAACCAGGCTAGTGAAAACACCTCTCATCCATGGCATGAGATGACTCCAACAAGCCACAGTGTCTGATATCCATTAGCTGTGGTTTTCCTTCAAAAAAAGAGAGACATGTGCGTGGCTCGAATGGATTTCAATTTTGCTGTAAATTATAGTTGATCCAATTTAGACACCACAGCAAACTATGGTTACCTAAAATTATAGAAGGCAGGGAAAGGAGCATGAGAGCTCCAGGGGCTGTGCTTAACCGCCATATCAGGGCTCCATGGAATCTGTCATGAGCCAAACGATGAGCCCAAATCTGGACAATAACAATCGGGGTTGGGGCAATAGCCCAGGCTAGGCCTGAGTGCCACAAACGTCCTGAACTGGGATATCCAGATTGTAATCCTGAGTTGGGTTCTATGAACGCACCACCATTCTCACCAGCAATGGCTTTTGGCCCCTCCAATCGCCACCTGCCGACACACTCAAACAAACAACGGCAGAAAAGCTTTTGAACACTAAGCTCTGGTAACCAGTACTTTAAGGCAGACGTGTCACCTCTGTAGATTCTATTTCATCCCCTCAGAGACTGCTTTAGGTCTTACAAGACCTACTCTGAAAAGTGGGAATGACCCACTGGGTCATTAGGATTTAACAAGCTTAAAATCAGATGTAGAAGAGGCCAAACTGGAAAAATACAGAGCAAACTACACCCTCCAAGAGATTTGAACAAGGTGGCCGTGGTGGTTGCACTTTTATTTCAAGGTGTTTGAGGGGCATCTGTAGGAGGGCATGCCTCCATCCAAGATCCAGAGAAGGCATATATGTCCCCCCAATGGAGCCTTGGAAGTTGGTTTCTCCTGGTCTAAAGCTGTCTGGGTCTTGGGAAGAGGACAAAGCCCAGGAGAGACGGTCAGTCTCTCAAGGGCTCCTCTAGAACAAGAAACCCATCAGAACAAGCTGTTTCTTGTTTATAAGGTGTCCTCCATTGTTGAAGGACCTCTCAGTGACTCTACTTGTTCTCTAGCTCAGGGGTCCCCCACCCCCGGTCCGTGGCCCGCTGATGGTCCATGGCCTTTGCAGGACTGGGGTGAGGAGACAGATCTCCCCCCCCACGCACTCTGCCCACACACAGGCACCTGCGCGCACGGCCTGCCCACCCACATGGGTGCCCCACCCACCTGCGAGAGTGCCCTGCCCCGTGCGCATGCATGAGTGTGCCCCACCCATCCACGTATGTGTACCCCACCCACCCACGAGCAGGGGGATGTCCCAACCCCCCAACAAGTCTGCAGTTCAGAAAAGGTTGGAGACCATTGCTCTAACACACAATACTTGATAACATGTAGGTTAGGCAGTTCTCCTTGTGTGCTACACCAGCGGTTCCTGACTTTTTTGGGACTGTGGACGGGCTCTGCATGGGGGGGGCAGGGTGCACCCCCACGCTTGGGGGGGTGTTGTGCTTGCATGCGCATCTGACATATCCCCTGCAGGAGCGTGACATGCCCTTGTGTGAGCGTGACATGCCCACCATGCGGGCGGGCAGGGATCTGTCTCCATAGCCCAGTTCCAACAAGCCCACAGAACAGCACCAGGCCGTGGGTTGGGGACCCCTGTGCTACACACCCAATCCCTTAAAGTCAATAATGCTGGAATTACTGCAACCTTCATATGACTGTCAATCAATCCAGCAGCAACGAATTGGTCCCTCTCTGCCTTAGATTTTGAAGAGAGCCACCGCCCCTCTACCTAAGAATTTCCCCCCCACTCTAGTTTCAGTCAGGGGTCAGTTATTCAGTCAGTAGTTTAGTTAGTCAATAAGTAGCATGAATCAGTTAAACTCTGTTCATGTAACCAGTCATTATTTTTCTACAATATCCCATTTTATTTATTCATAACTGTGAGTAAACTTGAACTTTTTATTCTTTCTCTTACCAGAATCTCAGAGAGAATTATTGAGACTATAAATGCCAGTTTATGAGAACAAAAGCAATAAGGGGTGGTCTACTTTAGGGAGCTTTTTTTGCTCTATAAGTTCTTGAACTTATTCCAATGCATAGTTAGAGGTTTTACACTTAATAAATTGCACACCATGCCAAGAAATAGCATGTGCTGATATCACTTCTCCCCATCCCTTTCATTGCCTCCAACTTACCAGCATTAAATATCACCTGAATTAAAGGCTTGCTGTTCTCTCTGCAGATGAAGAAAAAGACTAAACATAAAAGCATTCTCTATACCTTTCACGGGAGGTACGATGTCATTTAAACTTTAAGTGAGGAAAGAGATGGAAAGCTCCATTAATTTTTAGAAGTGCATATGTAGCCATATGCGGTACTGTGCAAAAACAGAAGTCATTCTGTACTGTACTGATGTCACATTCAGAATTCTTCACTTAACTATGCTAACATTTCTAAGGAAGGTTTATCTGCAGCCACCAGGTGGCACTGTAAATCTTATTTCTTAAATGAAAGGTTTCGACTAAGTTGCAAGAAACATCAGGCACTGAAAAGACATCTGTATTATTATTGCTGTTGTTATTACCTGGAAAGGACTGGAACAGTCTAGCTGTTAAATTGCCAACTAGGGATCAGGTATCTAGTTTTCAATTCCTGTTCTTCCACAAATGTTGTACTTTGCCTTTGCCAAATCTGTAAAACAGCAAAACATGCTCGACTTAGTGGCAATAATGGTAAAAGAAAAGAGTAAAGCAGTTTTTGTGCAGGATGGCTCACACATTCCTACAATAAAAATACAAACTATGAATACTTAAGGCAAATGAACCTGTTAAATTCTTTATATCTGTATGGGCTTGGCCACCCTCAGTGGGACGTGCAAAATCCTGGAAAGTTCTGCCAACAATTCCCACAAAACCCAACTGATACATTATCAGCTGGGGAAAACAATACAGTCTTGACCCCAGAAAATCCACCCAGCCCAATTTAAAGATAAGTGTGGGTAATACTTTTATTAGACCGTTGAAAAAGGCACAGACATGAGGTACCTTTGTACCCTGTACAGGTGTTTGTCAGGTGAACACTACACATCTAAGGATTGTGTAGAAAAAGCATGAATGTTTGAAAAATCTGGGCCAGATGCGCATACTAAGTTCCTTTGTTAACAGTAAGTTTCCATACCGAGACTGTGGACTTAGATCAGATGTACAGGATTCAGATTCTACCTCCTGGACTGGAATGTTTCCCTCAATCTTGTTAGATAAAGGACTGCCAGTCATTCAGCATTCTCTCCACAGTATTGGGTGACCGGAAGTTCTGTGGTTCTACATGGATAATGTTAAAGGTCCATGTTAAGTTGCAGATGGTGCTCTGGTTGGCTATTCATACTGTTTGTGTGGGTTTTTTTTTAGTGATCTAATAAAGGTACCTTTGCATTTGGGTTGCATACAAGGGTCACACAGCTTCCCCCGCCTTTTCTGATTTTAAAAATGTAAATAAAAAAACTTTTTAAACATCATAGTAAAACATTTAAAAATCAGCAAACATGAGGTAGGAAGAAAAAACGGAAAACATTCGTCTTGTGAAGCGCGGCCATAGGAACATTTGTCTTGCGAGTCATCAACCCCGTTGCCAAAACCATTTGTCTTGCGAGTTTTTTGTCCTGCGAGGCACCACTGTATTCAGAAGCAGCCTCCCTGATCGTTCTCTCTTCCATTTTGCTACCATGTCCCAGAACCAAAATAAATATTTGAGTCACTCTCATTCTGCAACAAACTGCTTGGAATTCTTTTCCCATTCTCCCTTGATCTGTGAATCTCCTCTCTAAACTGCTTTCTTACATCCTCTATGAAGTTCTGAAAATCATATTCATGTGTCCCCTGACTCCTGGAACTTCATAACCTGAAATCCAGCCCATCCCGAGCTTGTGCAGGCACCAGAGCTTGGATCCTAGAAGTCTCAGCATCTGTTTTTGCAGTCAGTCTCCTTTCTAGTGTTAATTTTCCTAATGTTAGTGTTTCATTCCACCTAGTTATCTGTTTTGTTCTTAAAGGATTTCCATCATTTCCAACTCATGCAGAACTTAACCCGGTTTCTGAAATATGCAAGATCTTCAAGAAGTGGCTTATCATTGTCCATTCCCAACAAATTTCCATGGGCCAGTAGTGATTTGAATCCAGAACTCCTGGTTCAACATTCTATCTACATTGCCTCACAGTTATTTGTTTACTGTTTGCCATTTATGAGCTAACTAAGGGCATATCAGACTGGCTATTTTGTTGTAGGCTGGATTGAGCTACAAAAAGTTGGTGCCATTTGACCTGTCTGAACCTTTGTGTCAATTAAATGTTTCCCTTGATTGTCAGCAGAGGGTTAGGAGAAGTGCTTTTTTTACATCTGCTATATCATTGCTAATACAATGAATTACTTGATTAAATTTAAAAATAGTTTTTTTCTTTACCTGTCTGTGTACTGCTGATTGAAAAACTGCCCGTAGCCATGGTTTTAATCAGCAATAATACACAGACAGGCAAAGAAAAACATGCTTTTAAATTTAATCAAAGTGATTTATTGCATCAGCAATAAATGATCTACTGGGTGCAATAAAAAATTATTTCACTTCCCCTGACCCTCTGTAGACAAATCGGGGAAATGTTCAATTTTTGATATCCTGAAGCAGCTTGTAAGCCACTTCAGGTTACTGGTCTGGAAAATAAAACCAGAAGGAACAGCAAGGCCCTAGTGTAGGCTATTACAACTGACCACATTCACTAGGAATGGGCTAAACTGGAACCCTCCAACCTGTACCAAAATAGAAGAACACCCTGACAGGGTAATTTTTTTTTAAATTAAGCTGGGGCAAATTGGTCCACTCCATCAATGTCCATTATGAAGTTGCTGGGGGAAAAAGAGTGGACCAACCCAACCCATCAGCATACCAAAAAGTGGGACAAATGTCTGTGTGGACAGCCCCTGATTCCCAGGGGCTGCCCCTTTGGGATGGCCTACAAAGGTTATCACTTTAGCATGATATGCACCTCCTAAATACTTCTTATTCTGCAAGAGTGCCACTGCGTATATTTTTACTTTTGCACATTCAATTATGTGCCACCTGCGAACTTCCTCTTTGTCAGCTACTAAAATCCAGTTGTCTAGAAGCACCTAAATGTCAAGGTTCAAAAACTTATACATTTCTGTTCTCAGAGAGTTCACACACATCTGGAGAATTCACCTTGTAACATATACAGGGCTTGAAAAATCCATTCGTCCACTCATCTGTGACGAGTGAAAAAACGGTGCTTGACGAGCCACAGCTCCCTTCGTACCTCCTTACCCTCAGTCTCTCTCTCTCTGATCCTGCAGTCCTCCCCTTCCCCTTCACATTGCAAAAGGAAAAACAGCCCTCTTCTCGTGAGAAAAGAGTTCGAGTGGCACATAGATATATAGCTCTGCAGGAGAATGTAGAACAGTCCTATGCTGGAGAATATGGAGATTCCCTGCTCCAAATTTCAACCGAACAACCTGGCTTCTTAAGAGCCTGGGCGCTTTTGCTTTAAGTTTTATTTTTGCTGGAGACATTCAAAATACAAGCTTCATGACCCCACAGGCACACAGATAATAAAGAAACCCAAGTCTGAGGGTACAGTGGTGCCCCGCTAGACTCTTACCCTGTTAAACGATGAAATCGCTTGACGATGCCTTTTTTGCAATCACTATAGCAATCGCAAAATGATGTTTCCTATGGGCTTTTTTCGTTTAACAACGATTAGCTCCCTGCTTCGCGAACCAATTTTTTGCAAGACGATGATTTAAAACAGTTGATTGGCGGTTTCCAGACTTATTTCCGCAAGACAGGGATTGCAAAATGGCTGCCCTATGGAGGATCTTCACTGCACGAGCAGGTATTTCCCCCACTGGAATGGATTAACCTGTTTTCAATGCACTCCAAAGGGGTTTTTATTTTCACATGACAACGATTTCGCTGTACAGCGATTTTAACGGAACACATTATCATCATCATGCGGGGCACCACTGTATATTTATTTTGGGTTTGTACACATTGCTATGTAGAAAGTGCCTAGTTTAAATTTAAATTTAAGTTTAAACATAAATTGCAAGGCTATAGTCCAGTCATGCTGACTGGTGAAATTTCTGACTGTCTAGTGAGACATTCTAAAAAATTTTCAAGCCCGAACATGTATCTCATACTGTGCTAACTGTAAATCATTCTGGCTAATGCCTGCTTGTTTTGAACACAAAAAGGATTTGGAATGACCCACTCTCCAGACTAAAATATGACCGCCCTCATAACCAGTATCAATTTATATTCACCAGCTTGGCACATCTTGGTAAGTTATGCAATTCAAAGGGTATATGCTTTTCTTTCAAACAAAGCATAGCTGCTCATTAAAAAACGTGGCAAAAGCTTACACAGTTGAGTGTGTTTTCATGTCAAGAAGCCTTTGTTCCAATGTGGCCTTCCTTGACTTTCTCTTCTACAGGATGAAAAATGTTATGTTAAAATAAACAGCCAAAAACAAGCTCTAAAGGAACATCAGCAGAGTACTATTCAAGTCAAAATACCTGAATCTTTTCTAAAGTGTTCTGTCAGAGGAGTCCAGAGAGCCTTACAAAACAATCCTATATGTATCTACATTGAAGTGAGACCCACGTCAAAAGGGCATTACTCTGAGGTAAGTAAATAAAGGATTGTAGTTTCAACTTTCTCATTGCAAATAAACTTCCCTTATGATTAAAAATAAATCTATTTCAAAGTAGTTTATCTTATATTTATTTATATCCTAGGATCTTGTTTTGATATTTAATGTTATGTATCCACCCACAGCCCTTTCCATGGAAGTGGCCTTTAATACACACAGGCAAAATTGAGCAACTACTTAAAAGTTCTTTCCAGGGTTTCATTTTTGACCAAACTCATAGGATACAAGAGACAAAGTGTTTAGTTTAACACAGGAAAACAAAGGAGGGAGGCAGAGAAGGAAATGAGAAAGCAGAAAACACTGAAATAAAGGTAGGGAAGTGTGATTGTTCTCTTCCTGTCATTGACAGATATTTAATTTTAAGGTGAACTGAAAGCACAGAACATTAGCTAAGACATGTCATTTTGATCCACTATTGCATATATGGATTGGGTCCACAATTAAAATCCAGCAGTCAGCTAATTGTTGATACCATGATAAGCAGAGGTGTGACCAGATAATCCCTCCACTGGGCATTTCACAAATGTAACTGCTGCCTATCCTCATACAGGGCTACATCCAGGTAGCTGGATAAAAAGCACCAAATAAACACAGAGTAAGTGAGATTGCACCAATATCCTTGGAATAACATTGCATACATTACAATAATCATTCTGACTGCAAGGTCAAATGGTCCTTGACACGTGTTTCTATTCATCTCAAAATTGCTGTGTCCATATCAATGCCATAAAAGACCTCTTGCAACTAGAGATGAAGAGGAAACAGAACAGGGTAAACTACAGTGCCCCCATATGACTCTCCTCCACTGGTAATGGGAGTCTTAATCTTGACTCTAAGTTTGAACATTTGATTATATTTGCTGGAAAACAGCCTAGGAACATCACAGTGTAAACTACCAATGAAGCTTAACATCTGAATGGTACTGAGAGCCGAAGAAAGAATGACACCATCCACATTTTTTTTTCAGTCTCAGTT